TCCTACCTACCCCCAGGGTTGTCTCAACTCCGGACAAACTAAAATCAATCCGGACCGAACCTGTGTCCCACATTTCCTAAATATTTATACAAATGAAAAAAAAATGTTCTGATTCTGATGTAAATTAATGTATACTTTTATGCTGTCCTGACGCGTTCGTGAGAATGAAACTGTTCATTTACTGTGTGAGTGCGAGCACGAGAAGAAACAAGCAAGAAAGAATGCTATAGGTAACATCAAGATACACGAACAAGCTTTAAATGATTTGTTATTGGTTCGTGATCATCATTCTAAAGATGTTTGGATTATTGAAAAGTATACAGCTCCCTTTCATATGAGTGTTGAGAGCTGTATCCATACATTCATGTTGTGCTCAAAGTGAACCAGATTGATGCATTTCACTTCAACATTTAAAAAATATCTTCCCGGGGGTGCATGCCCCCGGGCCCGCCTAGAGGAGGTGAGGTCCACCCCCAAATAAATCAGGTTAAAATAATTAAATTGCATACATTTTATTTTAGTAAACACTGAAAATGGGTCCCACAGACCCAAACGGCACACAAAGGTTAAATGTCAGCATATAATAATGTTCAAATGTGCTAAATATATACACTGCAAAAAACTAAAAAAGGAGTAAAAGTAGCTCACGACTTGTTTTATTTTTTGAAAGTAGCTCTCATCCTAAAAAAGGTTGAAGACCCCTGTTGTAGAACGATACATTTGACCATTTTAAGCTTGGCCTTCCATTTGATTGGAGGAACAGGTGGGGCTTGAAAAGTTCAAAGTGGAGAATGAGAGGACAAGTTTGAGAACCACTGATGTAGATTAAGAAGGTCCACAGCAACGAAAACATGAAACACCCTTTAATTTACTGCAATGACATGTCGGGAAACCCCCTCATTGGGGGCCCGTGCATAGCCCATGCACAGCGCAAACTGCTTCTTAATTTCAGTTTTGTTGCGTACCCCTGTCCTATACCCCTGTCCTATGCCAAAGTTTGAATGTAGGCCTCCTGCAACAACCTACTGTACATTGTAACAGAAAATGTCCTATTGGGAATCCAGTTCCACAATAATAATGAAAGACTCAAGGAGCAGATGAGCCTAAGGGCAAATAGCTCATCTTCAGTCTGCTGATGTTTGCTATTGCCATTTCTGTGGTGGCAAAGTAAAAAAGAAAAGAAAAAAGATAACAATTAAGGACAAGTGTGTGCTNGTTTTTACGACACTATTTTTATTTTTTTTTGACTTTGCAAAATTGTTTCTTTTTAATTTTGACAAACATCATATGTGTCATTCGTGGCACAATTCAAACGGGATCGAAAGATGACTTTTTCTCTCTCCATTGACTTCAATGTATAATTTTTCCGCTTCCGGGGTCCCATGGGTCGGAAGTAGATGGGCGGGACTTCGCCTCTCTATAAGGGTCATTTCGAACAATACACCACAAACCACCCACTGAACAGATTACCCAAGATCCTCAGCTTGAAGCTCGTTGATTGGATGTTTTAGCCGCAAGCATGTTGGGATATGATGTTAATGCGATATGATATCCGAAAACATTTAAAAAATATATAATAATACTTTATTCCGAGTGTTCTTGCTTTTCTCTTTGAAAGTCATCACATAACTGCATTGTAATACACGGTTCGGCTGCATTAAATATTACACATCTGCCGTAGTTCTTTATTTATAGAGCCCTGATGAGAAGACTTCTGGACAAACTTGAAGAACTGCTGCCAAAACTGAATATGTGACGTGGATCATAAATATATCAACAATTAAACAACATCTTGCATTTCTTTTCACAAAATACGTCTCTTTGCAGTATCAATAGTAATTCGGCTGACTTTTATATTTGATCCAATTGGTAGATAGGCTATATTTACACGGTGCACAGCTGATAGAAAAGGACTTGTAGTTTTTAAAGATATTACTGATTTATTTGAATATAAGAATGTAGGGGTGTAACTGTTCACAGAAGTCACGATTCGGTTCATCTGTTATTTATTTTTAACAGTAGTGCATGCTTTGGTATGAACATAAGGAACTCTAACATTTGGAATCATTAACTGTATTACACAGTTAAAAACAAACCACAAACAGTAACACACACACTCAGATGGCCATATTATTTATAATGGCTGATGTCAAACAAAAAGGTTAAATTAGCTGCTGTACAACTAAAAAGAATGTCTTGAAAATATTAAAATAAATAATAAGAAAGTGTTTCAATCACAATCAATAAAAGGCAATACAGAACTGTATAACATCTCCTGATGTCAAAATATAAAATAAATACAATGATAAATATAAAACAAAATAAAATTGTACCTTTAGGAGCAATGTCTAATATGTGTAATTAACTTGTGAGTGTGTGAGGCCATTATGCCTAAATAAAAGTACTCAAGCTTTACTCTATTTTCAAGTTTTTATTCAAAAAAGAGTTTGTCTACGTTGTCAGTAGTGAGGGCAGATCTGTTGGCGGTAACTATGTCACCTGCCGTTGAGAAAACCCTCTCGCTGGGGACTGAGACTGACTCGGATGTGATTGAGCATGTTTGACGTGTTACCACTAGCATACCGCACCGCTGTCGAACAACGCCAACACACCATCCTCGTCCGATTCACAACTCGCACCCCATCATTGTTGTAGTCCACAGGGAACCGGAAATGTTCCCACACACCTGATTTAAAAGAAGCATGTGGGTCTTCTAGCTCCTGTGTGTTGTGTGAACTCGCCATAGCTACTAACTTTTCTTCTTCATGTATTGTGTTGGTTTCGTTGTGTTTTGTTCTTGTTCTTCATTTGTTATTTAAGGGCGGCTGGCTTTTAGGCGCAATACCGCCCCTGGATTATATATAGTGTAATACTGCCCTGAGTGGCAGACTTATTTCCCACTCGTAAAAAAAGGCGTATTCGCCGTGTGACTGCATGTGCCGAACCGTGACGTCCGAACCGTGACGGTACCGGACTAATACGGATACCGTTACACCCCTACTATAGGGACAAGTGCCATCAGTTTGAGGCTTGATTGAATAACATTAATTACAAAATAAATCATACTATAAAAATACTAGAACGAATGAAAATAAGCTTGAGATAATTGAAACTGTGGTTTAAATAAGTTCTAATAGGCTATTGTTGTTTTTAGAAAAAAAAAAAATGTATTTCTGGCGTTGCTAATGACGACCATACTACCCGTGAACGATTAGCGAACGTTGCAAGCAAGCTAAAGAAAGAAGAAAGCGAATATGTTAAAAACGTGCTCAAAACGGGAGTATTCGGAGAGACAAGGAGAATATTACCAGCGAAAGTGAATGAGGAGGAGGACGACAGTCATCAACCGAGCACAAGCGTAGGCTCCGCCAGCAACACAAAAGTGATATGCACAGCCGCTGTGATGGAGGAGAGAAGTGACTCAGGAAGAAGGCATTTGCACAAAGAATGGAGAGAAGGCTGTGACCGAGATCAAAAGCGGAAAAAGCACACACTTAATTGTTATCTTTTTTCTTTTCTTTTTTACTTTGCCACCACAGAAATGGCAATAGCAAACATCAGCAGACTGAAGATGAGCTATTTGCCCTTAGGCTCATCTGCTCCTGGAGGCTTCATTATTATTGTGGAACTGGATTCCCAATAGGACATTACCTCGGTTTGGGGCTCACGGTTCGGTACAACAAGGAAAAGCAAAAAAAAGTCCCAAATGCATAATTTTTTTTGCTGTTATTTATTTTTAACAGTAGTGCAAGTTCTGGTATGGATATAAGGAACTCTAACATTTGGAATCATTAACTGTATTACACAGTTAAAAACAAACCACAAACAGTAACACACACACTCAGATGGCCATATTATTTATAATGGCTGATGTCAAACAAAAGGTTAAATAAGCTGCTG